TCTAAATATAATTTCATCTCAGCTCACATTTATTCAACAAGTGGGCTCTCCTCTGATGAGGAATGATACAATACTGACTTTGTCTGTAAAGAAAACAACAATAGATTGCCACTCTAGCAGCAAAATGGATCTACTAGCATATAATACAATAAGAGAACTGCTTAAATAGGGGCTTATCCATTTAAAATAGTAGAACTACAAAAAAAGAAATGCTAGATTTGACCAGAAAAAGTCAAGAATGTCTTAAGAGGTATCTGTGCAAAGACTGAAGTTGCCAGGAGACAAGCTAAGTAAGAGTATCAGCTGCAGACTAAAGAGCTTTTATAAAAGAATGAATACCTACTTTAGAAATTGAAGGTACTGCTGAAATTTAAACTGAGAATGTTGTAGCAGGAGACAGCGCAGAGGGACATGAAGACATAAGAAGACAAGAGAAGATAAATCTGCTTGTTAAGATTCCTCAACACATACTTGGAAGGCAGAGAAGTTGTTATATGCTGTGAGCTGAAAATGTTACTCGATCCAGTGACATTTTCACAATTTCTGTCATGTTCAAGCTCACAGTCACTCTACCTATCCATCTTGTTGAGGAACTCTCTCTTTCTCTGACCCTCCACCTTTCACAGCATGATGTCTTTTTCCAAAGACTGTTCTATCCTGACAACATGACCAATGTATGGGAGACAAAGCTTCACCATCCTTGCCTCTAAGAAGCACCCTGACTGCACTTCTACGATTATAAACTATGGAAGGAACTGAGAACTGGAAACTGTATAAGACAGACAAGAAGGGAAAAGTTAAGTTTTCAGCAAAACTAACTAGAGGTCAAAATGGGGAATTATCAACAGTCAGTAAAGGAGAAAAGAAACATAAGGTCTTCCCTATGACAAGATGAAAAATGAAGCTGAGAAGAAAAATATTTGGTAAACATCATAGAATTTTCTCAAGTGAAAATTTACGAGAAAGAGGCGGAAATGATTAAACTTCCATCTTACCTACAGTAGTAATAAGGAACACAGTCGAAAACTCGCAATAGAAGCTTCTACAAACTCTTAGACCTGACGTTCAAAATAACCTTTAACAAACTTAACATTATCCTATGTATTTTCTACCTATATCAAATCATATGACAGGCAACTGTGGTTCTGGACCCTACACTTCAGTTCTCTTGAAAATTTCATTAGCTATCTGTGGGTATAGTTTTCAGTTGTGATTCTTAGTTTTAATGCATTTGACTGTGTATAAAAATGATAAAAGTATTTCTTTTAAAAAATAGTTAGTTGCCATAATAGTTCTTAGACAAAAGTTTAGGTTTGCTTTATAAATTTAAATAGAGATAAATATGTAGGTTCTAAGTCCCAGCATTTAGGTAAAAAATTAGTACAAAACAGAGCCATACATAGACTTGTGTCCTACAAAAACATGTGCAATTGAGGCAAGGCCATGATTTTTAGTATTATGTAAGTGTTCTAAATTTTAATCTGGTGGCCTAGTAAGTAGACAGTTGTACTAACAACTGAAGGTGGTTGGTGTGAATCCACCATCTGCTCCACAGGAGAAAGATGGTCAATTCCCTCCCGTACAATTTATAGCCTTTGAAAACCCACTAGAAGGTCAGCTATGAGTTGGTTCCAACTTTACAAGAATGAAAGACAAAGTCCACAATATTAATGAGGCAGATGAGAGGCAACTGTATAATATGAAATCATTTCCATGTGATTTGATATGATCAACAAATAAATTGGAAGGAGATTAGGATGAGTTGCAAATCCTTAAATTAAGTCACAGCATGATCTGAAAATGTAAGGAGAGTTGCCCTGGAATAAAGCCAGCATCATTTTCTGTCTCATAGGAGATAAAAAAGAGGCAAGTAGAGAAGAGAAGCCCTCAGTAAAACCCAGAAAGAAGTCAGGAATGGAGTGTGTCATTTGGACCAAGCTTCTTATGCTCGGAAATTCCCAGAAGCAGGAGACACAGAAAGAAATCCTTCTCCTAGAGCCAACACCTTGAATCTGAACTTTTATCCTCCTAAAAAGTAAGAATAAATTTGTTTGGCAAAGCCATCCATGTGTGTTAGAACAGTACTAGACAGATATGACAAACACAATTCCAAATGATTCAAACTAATAAAACAATTAAGCAAACTGAAATTACTTGCTGTTCTTCAGTTTTCCTCTCCAGCCTTGCAGCACGATCTTCTCCAATTCTGATATTATCTCTGATAGCATTTAACTGTTTTTCAATTTCATTGACCTACAAAGAGAGAGGAGTCATTTAGAAGACTAATTCTGATCAAATAAATTCTATTTTTACAAATATAGGTAAATAAGTAATTAAGTGAAAATTACCACTGCCCAAGCCATTTCATGTTTCAAGTATTCCAATTTATTTTTCATTGTACTTAAGCCAGCAATACTTTGAAAACGTTCCTCTTTCTCCAAACACTGGCGCTTCAGCTCAGTAAGTTGCTTAAGGAGAGAGGAAAAAAAAAGGATATATTATTTCTCATTAACACTAAAATTACAAGACTCTGGCAAACAGTTTCAGTTTTCTTTTGAAACAATGCCTAGACAATTGCTGCAGAAAGCTCTTTTATGGAACAACTTCCTTAAAGCTAAATTAAAAATTATTCTTATTTCTCTTTTTAGTTTTAGTATACCTCGTACAATAATTTCTATAATTTCTGAACTAAAAAAAGTTAGCATAGCATTCTTCAGAAGAGGCATAAATGCATAAACATTCAAAACCACAGGAACATAAAAAAATCCCAAAATTCAGTTTGTCATTTTCTCACCTGCTGTAGTATCTGACAAACAAATTTGTTTTTCCCCAACAAAGTAGACCCATTACCCATTCCAAAAGTAATAGATAGATCTGAAGGACTTTCTCAAACAAAATTAAAAGTGTCAGATTTTTTCTTATGCAAGATCTTTCAGTTATTAATAAGTCATAAACACATGATAAAAAAACTAAACAAATATGAAATATTTGTATTATAACTGCTTCTAAATTGGTTCCTCATCTTCATAGTCTGTTCATCTGACAGCCAGTTCTTTTCTTCATTCATGCCTACTATACTCAACCATGGCAAAGAAAAAGAGGAACAAAAAAAAGGGGACAACCCTCAATGCGACAGATAGACTGTGAAGACAGGGCAGGACCACCCAGTGATTTCTTCTGTTGTGTAAAGGTCATTGTGCATTAGAAGGGATGCATGTAACTTATTCAGTTAGCCAGATCCCTGATGACACAATGGATAATACAGTCGCCCACTGATTGAAATTGGGTGTTCTGAAGCCACTAGCTGCTCCATGGGAGAAAGATGAGGCAGTTTGTGTCCATAAAGATTTACAGCTTTGGTAATCCTAGAAGGCAGATATAACTCTATCCTACAGGGTTGCTATAAGTCAGAATAGACTTGATGGCAGTGAGTTGAGTTTGATTATTCAAATAACATCTTACTCAACGTTATAGAGCAAACTATGCTTCCTTATCTAGTTTATATTCACGTTGTTTCAGAATTATTTGAATTCATTCTATGTTCAAACCTCATACACACTACTGGCATCTTCCCTCATTCATTCTGTTTCCAGCTTCAGAGAATTCAGAAGCCATCAAAGAACTCCTCCAAATTTTCAACATTATCCACAAATATATGATACAATAGGAAAGGTAGCCAGATGACATTTATAGTGGATCCTCACCCTGATCTATATTCTGGACCCTAACCTCCCCTGCTTTATCCAACTCCGGGGACAAGGGACAGGGTTGGGGATGGGAGAGTGTGGGGTCAGATAACATGACAAACCAATGCTGTGAATTCTGAATCACGATGATCCTCTGTAAATCTTAACAGGGAGAGACTATATAATCTTTGTCTCATGGAGCTGGTTGGTAAGTAGCTCAACATTTAATCTCTACTAACTACCCCACCAGGGCTTCTTGTCAGTTGTTCTAAACAAATTCATTTCCCATTCTACCTTTTTAGCTTTTGTTTTCCATTTCTCCCATCTGACTAATTTTCTTCCATTATCAAGTGTAAATCTGCTTATCTTTCCCACTTAGAAACAAAACTGCCATCACTCATTCCTCACCACTATTTCCATCTTTAAGATTCTCCCACTCATCCAAGATTCTTGAAAAATTATCCTCATTTCCTCTACTTCCTCATATTTTCAACTCCACAAATCTAGTTTTTGTTTCATCACTACCAAAAACAGTCTTGTCACAATAATGTTTTAAAATCAGGTTACTAAATTCAATGGGTGTTTGTCAGCCCCTGTAGTGGTTGAATTTAAAGTACTTCTCTGATCTCTTCCCAACTCTCCTAAGTCGTGTTCCTTCTTAGCCTGAGCTTCCTTCTATCCTCCTGGGTGGTTTGTCATTTCCATGGATTAGCTGTCAGCAATACACTAACAACCTCCACATATTTTGAGGCCAACTGAGCTCAGCTACTCTGTAGGAGAAAAATGAGGAATATCCTTCTGTGCAATTTACTGCCTCTGAAAACCCACCGCTGAAGGGTCAGTTGTGTGTTAGTTTCAACTCAACAGCACTAACTACATTTGTTCATGCTCAAAGTTCAATTCGAAATACAGAGAATGTAATATTTATTGACTGAATGACTTCTGTTTTTAATTTTCACATACTATTTCTTAAAAGATTACACTACTCAATTACAGATTTTAATAATACGGAAAAAATTTCTTATGTGATGTTCTTTATTTTGTTGTGCCATTGAGTCATGCATAACTCCTATTAACTCTATAATAAACAATATCTCTGAACCCTGCCCTATCCTGGGCCAATCTGCGGCTTAACAAATGTCTATGTTATGTGGGCCTGCGCGAGCGCACGCGCGCACACACACATCTGCCTCTGAGTTGGAATCAACAAACAATTGACCCACTAGCAGATTTCTAAGGCTGCAAATCACACAGGAGAGAAGTTCAAATCTCAGCATTAACAGTGCAGTAACCTATAGAATGGGCCACCAGAGTTCCCCAATTTTCTAATACAATTAAGTATTTTAAGAATTTGTTTCACCTTTAAGATTTAGATTAAAAACAACTATGAAATATCACCTCACACCAATAGCAATGGTAAAGTTCAAAACAGCAGCAAACAATAAATGCTGGCGGGGCTGCAGAGCAAGTGGAACCCTTATTCACTGATGGCGGGAGTATGAAATGATAAATCCATTATGGAAGGCAGTACAATGCATTCTCAAAAAGTTGAAAATAGAAATACCATTTGACCCAGCAATTCTGCTAACCTAAAGGAACCAGAACTGCCACCCAGATACATGTACACCTATGTTTACTGCTACACTGTTCACAACAGCAAAGAGATTGAAGCAACCCAAGTGCCCATCAACAAGAGAATGGACAGAGCTGTGATATAGTAAAAAAATGGAATACTATGTAGCACTGAAAAACAAGAAACTAAAAATATTATGCAAAATGGGTGACCATGCTGAGTGAAATATGTCAGCACAAAAGGACAAATACTGCATAATGCTACTGCTATAAAATAGGACTGACAGGGGCTAGGGGGGGAAATTAAGAAAAGAGGGGATAAATAAGTAATGCTGCATTGAAACAGACGAGGGAAAGAACTGTTTAAAAGAAATATA